CAAAGTATAAGATAGATGACCTTCAGGTATCTTGTCTCTCCATTTCCTTGGCTGCTCGCATGACTCCAGAGGGTCTTTCCAAACGTGCAAGACTGTTTCTTAGCTTGTCCTGTTATACACCTGCATTTTAGGTGGAGGTTACTGTGCACACCGAGATGATTTGTGCCCCGCTGAAGGACTTGGCCACCAGAGAATCATGCCTTGGTCCCACTGTCATCTCCTGTTCCTGCACATCCACCCAACCTGCATTCTGCTAAGCAACTCATCTCCCCCAGGACCATTGCTCCCAGCACAGGTCATGCAATGCCTTCAAAGAGTTTCCATTTTCTCTTTCCTTTTGTCTTTCTTTTTAGTGTAAAACAAATCAGAGTGGTACCCCAAGACTTTTGCAGTAGTAAAAAGAGAACCCATAATATTCCTATTCCATTCTGTAGAAGGTTCTTGGTAGGGAAGAGCCTGGCTTTTCCAACATATTTTTCCTGCTATTTCTAGTGTATGGGGCTCCAGATCCTGACTGAAGACTGTGAATATTTTTGCTGTTTCCCCACCAACAAATTTTCCATAATAGAAAGATGAGAAAAAAGAACATGAGTTCACCAAGGGACAAATTTCAGAAACACACGCAATTTATGTCTTATCCAGCAGATGTTGCTGTTGGACTGAAAGAATGGTTCAAGGTCAGTTAAGGTGTGATAGGAAGAGATGGTATTTCAGAGGATTTCAAAAGCTCCAGGATTTTATCCAACATCTCCAGAGCTGGTCCCTGGAGATTGGCAGACCCCTTTTTACAGCCATAAGCATACAACCCTGGGTGACTGTGCTGAGGCCCAGACTTCTGAGTGGATCTGACTCCAAGTAAAAAAAAAACCAAAAGATCCCAACCACAATCATAACCTTCCTCAGTCTTCTGATTAGACAGGTTATTGTCTGTCAGAGCTTTTAATTATTGTTTCATAAATAGTGGAAAGCTTTGCTTTGTATACAGTGTTTGCCTCCTTATTGATGAATGTGGCGTTATTAGAGTCTTAGGTAAAATAGCACATTTGTTGGTGTTGCTAAGGCGTGCATAGAAGATAGAAGTTATTGACGTGTTAGAAGGAAAATGTGAGTTTATATAGTGTAGAATTAATTTAATGCCATGCTGGTTGTATTATTGGGGAAACCCTGGGTTTTCTGTCACCCTGTGGATGGGTCTGTTTTCACAATTCAGGTTACAGCATTAAAATTTTTATTCAGAAGTGTGTGTGTACCCGAGAGGTAGATTCCTGGGTCCACAGGGAAATTTCTGAGTTCCTTCTACTGATCCAGGTGGCTTTATGCCAGTCTTGTCCCTAATTTCTGGTGGGACTTGAGTGGGAAAGGACTATCTGGAGGCTCTTCTGTATCACCCTAGGGACCATTCTTCCCCTCCTTAGCCCTGAAATTTCAAATATTGAAAGGAGAGCCATTGGTCTGAACTTAATGACATTCACAGTTGTGCAACAAACCTTTTGAGAAGGGAGCATGCTTCATAGATCAAGGAGAGAAAGTCCTGACTGTTCAACAGCTTCCCTGGAAAAGGAGTGATTTGAAAGGCTGAGGGAGAGCAAGCTGAGAAGCGTTAGTAAACAGTGTTTAAAGAGGTACTTGGGTAGGCCTCAGGAGATGATCCCTGGGACTATTATCTCCATCCCACGCACTCTCACACACTGAATGCAGATCGTGTTGCAAAGATTTGCGCTCCGACTGTACAAAGACCATTCTACCTACAGTTAGCAAAGCCAAGATTGCCATATGCAAGTTAAACAATATGACCTTCATACCATCTCCTGCTGTCACAGGCTCTGTTGACACACGTTTTGGAAATGCCGTAGGCTTTTCAGCATTATTATGGCAATAGTTTGGGGGTTGTATTTTTAAAATCAGGTGAATGGTAAAGCCTGCAATCTTTCTGGGCAGTTGTGCTCAGGGGCTTGGCATATCCACAGGTGGTGTGATAGTGGCGGGTCAGCGAGCAGAGCACAAGCTAAGGGGCACAGCAGGGAGCTGGTCGTGGCTTTGCACTGCTACATGGGCACTATCCCAGACGATGTTATGTGCAATAGCTTGAAACTGTTCCCACTGGAGTTGGGAATAGATGGTGAAACACCACAGATTGTGTTTCTTTAGGCGCTCCATCCTGCAGAATATTGAACTGGAACCTATGTGGTATAAACTGATGATTTCAGGCTGTTGGTGTTTGTAAGCCCACACTGGAGTGTTTCCATAGACCGCTCTACACTGCAGTTTGTCTTGGAGGATCAGCCCTAAATGCCTAAATATGCCTTCAGGAGCCAAATTTAAGAACCAAAGTTTGTAAATGTTGGATCAATCTTGTGTCGGTTCCTCAGCTCTACTTATGTTCCTTGTCACTGTAAGAAGTAAACTAAAGCTCTGAATCCAAATATTTCCAGCTTCGAAATGTTTGCACATAGACTAGGGTATGCTTCTGTCAGTAACGTGCCATCCTCTTGATGCACAGGGGAGTAGAGTAGCTTCAGACGTTTGTTTTAAATATATTACCTTAGAAATAGACAGGGAGAAGTTGCACAGCGACTGCATTTTCCTTACTTAAGTTCAAAAATAAATATAGCTGTAACCTAAATGAGTATTTATCGGCATTGAAGCCCTTTGGCCTTACTCCAGTGGACTTTTCTCACTGACATCAGTGGGAAGAAGATGGGAATTGCATAGGAAATCTGTGAATATTTTTTTCTTCATCATCCATCCATCTATTTTGGGATGTGCGAAATGCTTGTTCTCTGTTGTAACATTAACATCAGTATGTGGAAACTTGGGTTGCTAAAATAAATCAGTGAAATGCAATATACATGACTTCGCATGGAACTGCACGTACATTGTTGAGCACAAGCGCCCCGTGCCCACTCTGCCGTGCCAGCTGTGCAGCCAGGTATGCCCTGCCGTGGAGCGCTGCCACGAGGCACACATGAACTTTTTCCAGCCAGCGTGCACAGAGTCTCTCTAGTTCCTGAACGGGCAAAATATTTCGTGGTTGCAATTTATATAGTGGTAAAAGTGATACTCTTACCAGTCTCAGAGCATGGGGATAACAAATTCTGTAGTATTTCACAAAAGCACCTTTTGATCTTTTACATCGTGGGCCTGATTGAGTGTTTGCTGGAGGCAGTGAAAATTTGTGAGGCTTTAACTGTCTCTCTCTGGTTTTTGTAAGTTAGCAGTACTGGCTTCAAACTGTGCTGCGCCATTTCCCTGACCTTAGTAAAGACTATTCTAGTATGCTAGTGTGCTAGTATGAATTAGCACATTTTCAAGTTCATTTAATTTCTGTTTTTAATGGAAAAATGAAAAGGGTAAGCTCAGCCTTGATGGGCTGCACCGTTTTGTGCCCACAGTGAAATCAATGGGAGACCCTTATGAAGCTGAACAAAGGTATTAAGGGGCCAGTTCTGCCTCAGAGTCCCTCTGATCCGTAGAAGCCTGGCCTGCTTCACAGAGCGATCCTGTGCCTCGACGCCGATTTATCACCTGCCATGGTCGCAAGCATAGGAATGTGGCTGCCACCTTCCCTGCCTCTCTGCCTTCGGATAAGACAGCAAGCTCGGAGCACGCCTCTGCCCCAGGAGGAAGGAGAAGCGAGTGCGTTGCTCTACTGGACACCAGGCCATTCACTCCTCTCCTCTCCATGGAGCCCACAACTAAAGGAGTGGGAGGCATTCCCACGGAATTAGCTGTTCTCTCTTTTTCCTGCTTTAAGAGGTAAGAGCTGCAAAAATTCCCTCCTTAAGAGTCACCGGAGAGAGAATATGACGACTGATCTGTCATCAAAAGTATTTAGAGCTGATGATGATATCTGGGTTGGTGTTTGGGGTGGTGGTTTAAATTTTTTTTTTTTTTACTGTGTTGTTTAAAGAAAATCCATAAATCACAGGGATATGACAAGAAATGGGTTTTTTTCATATTGGCTGCATTATTGGGGGTTATTCGTGTCCAAATGCACAGAAATGCCCTGATGGTTACTTACCAATGACAGCTTGCCCAGGGCTTAACATTTTTCAGTTTCATGGCAAGCTCAGAAGGTTACACATATATACTGAATGAAGCATAGCCCACTGGTTATTTTTAGAGAGGTTGTAAACAAGAAGTAAATCCCTGGACTAGTGCTGCCAGAGACGTGTAAAGTTCAAATCCAAATTAAAACTGCCTATCTTTGGCCTAAATTCCAACCTGAACTTGAGGAAGACTGTGATCTATACTTTGAACTTTATGACAGAAAATCTGTTGCAATTATTTTCTAACGCCCGAGAACGTATGAATGTGGTACAAACACTTGAAAATGAGAACGTGAATGAAAAATCTGAACATGTGTCCAAGAATCTAGTACCTGGTCTTGTGAGATACTGCTGTGACTTTAAGTGACAGTACCTGCCCCTGGCCCTTGGAGAGTCCAATTTATGGTGATTCCTAGTTCCAGCACATCTTTGTAAGATCAAGTCCTGTAAGGTCATTGTACACTTGGGGAGGGGAAGAGAAATGTGCTTGTTTACCTTACAGATCTCTTCAGTAGTGATCTCTGATGCACAAGACTTGGTTTAGAAATGACCAAGATACAATATAAAAAGTGTAGACACCTTTTCCACAATATGTTTATGCGAAGTAGTTGAAAGTAGTGCAGCTGAAGCATGTTCTTGATTTCTTTGCTGAATCAGAGCCTGTATCTTCTTCCTGCCAAGGCAGGGATCTTAATACCACTCCTAAATATACTAGTAATTCTAGAAGTCCTAATGAAACTCAAGATAACGCCACAGCTTTTATAAATAAGGGTCTTTATTTAGAATACTGTCAAAAACATTCTTGGCAACCACATTGTATAAATATATAAAGTTAAAGTTTGACACGACAAACCAAGCAATATTAAATATTTTTCTTTTTTTCCCCTTTCTGTTTTTAGGTTTTGCTTTTGTTTTTTTTTTTTTTTCCTTTCTTTTCCTCTTTTTGTCCTTTTTTTTGCAAAGCAACTCTTATTTACAATTATACAAAAAGTTTTATAAAAAATGGTCCACAACCTTATTTTGGCCAGAATAGGAGTAATAGGAAGGATCTGTCATGCCACTACTGTTGTAGATTTCGATTCTCTGCTTTCAAGAGCCAGGTTCCTATTCCCCAAAGCCCAGATTAAACATTGGCCATTTCATAGTACACAATTTTATCTGTAGACATTATTAAATAGCTTAACAACCAATAAATACCTAGGTGTATTTTGAAGTAATACATAGGTTTGAAAAGTTATATATTTGAGGGAATTTTGAGTGATATTTTAAAACTGGAACAGGTCTTGAGAAGTCTTTTCAGTCTTACAAGGCACGTCTTGGAGCATGGCTGAACGGAGCAATTTGTTTTCAGTGCAGTTCAGCTGGACCTGCCTCTATAGCACTTGGTAGATAGGGTTGGTGCTGCTGTTATCCTGGGGAAGTGGGGTGCAGCTGGTGGGGGAAGGAATTTGGGCTCCACTCTCATTCAGACTTGCTCCCCCGGTGGGGGAACAGGGGCTCCCTTCAGCAACAGTTTCGACTGGAGGCAGTATAGGACAGGTCGAGTTATCTGTGGAAATCCTCTCTACAATGCTTGAGAGGCAATCAAGGCTGGAAACAACAGAACTCTTCCCATGCTTTGGATCTAAAAAAAAAAGAGACAAAAAGGTGCTCAGTCTATCCAATGGGCACTTAACGTCAGTAGGGTGTAGTTCTTTCCTAAAACCCCAGGGAGTATCCATCTGTGAGCGTATTAAGGTACAGAGGAAATGAATACCAATGAAGGATGCCAATTACCAGAAAACAGAGACTGTAATTTGTGAAATGGAAGAGAGACCCAACCAAGCTATGCTACTTTTGGGGCAGGGTGGATCCAGGGTGTCCATAGAAAGGCAAGGGAAGATTTCAAATCAATCGACAATTCGTCCAGTTTGGATCAATGATAAACAGAGTTAGAAGAGTCTTCATGCAAAACATGCTTAAACACTGAAAATTAGTTGAAGAGAGGAATACATTTATGTCCAGATGTTATGTTTGTGAAATAGGAAATGCAGCTATGACATATGCCTGTATTTGCAAATGCATCTAGAGGATGCATCTAGTAGCATCAGCATCTCGCCGGCTCAGAAGGCAGGTTCCTCTTTCAGCCCAGCTGGGGTCAGCTGAACAGCTGGGGTTGGAGCAGGCACAGGGAAGTTCTGCTGCATCGAGTGCCTCCATCTCCGTGTTTCACACGGCTGTTAGGGCACATACTCACCATTTGGTGATTCTGTGTAGTAGCTGCTGTCATAGCTGTTTCTTCTGCGAGAACTGCACGGAGGCCCGCTGTACTCCATCTGGAAAGGAAAGCGACCCGAGTGAGGTGACTGGTCAGGGACAGCATTTACAGAAACCCCAGTAACTATCAAATTATATATTTTCTAGTCTGTGCCATCATTCCAGTCCGGGTGAAACGACATCAAGTTGAAGTTTCTTTGAATGAGGCAGAACTTAACTCGGCTAGAAGGGGATTAATCCCAGAATATTTTATGTGGCACATAAAATTACCATTGTTGTTGTATCAAATGGTGTAGCTCTATAAATGAGATGAGGTTTTCCAGCATTCTGATCAGATCCTGCCCTACATGTATCTTCAATTTACAACAGGGAGACGAAGAGGGTAAGGAGTCTTTTTTTTTTTTTGGTTTAAGTTCTGAAGGTATTTCTAAACATAAGTTCCTCTTAAAAAGCCTCTAATCTACCTTTGTCCCTTGTTACTTCCTTTAGTTTCTCTTCCCATTTCCATTTTGTACAGAAAAAGCCCCCAAATGTTGACCAAATATATTTCTTTCCAATGCTTTAATCACCAATGAAATTGCTCTTTCTGACAAAAGAAAGCGGCTGTATCTTTAGGAGGGATCATTAGTGTAAATTTTCTCTCCAATCTGCCAACCGTCTCATAATTGCAGATACTCAGCTCAGTAATGATTAACCCCACCACAGCACTGAAAAAATCTCAGGTCTTAAAGTGCTGTCTCTATGCTGTCCCATCCATCTGTCCTGCACACCAGTGACCATGTCCTCCCACCCCAGAGTCACGGCAGAGTCCAAGCCTACAGCTCCAGTGAAAAGACGAGGTGATGAGACACCCTCTCTGGCCTTCACCCTTCTTCTCCCCTCCTCAAAACATGCAAACAGGACAGAAAGCCTGGGGTTTCCTTCCTGTTGCTGGTAAATGTCTCTGGAGGGAATGAAGTACAAGGAGAAATGGACAACTTTTTTTCTTAACGGTAAAGAAAAACAACTCCCGTTGCTTAGACCCTCCTCCTGTTATCATGAAGAATGGCAGAAAGCAAAATCCAGACTCTTACCAGTTCCCCTGTAACTACCGTGACCAAGGGAGATCTTTCCTCTCTGCTCTCCTTTGAGGATTCAAAGGAAATAATAGAGCAGAAGTTGGAAACAGGGATGCTCCAAGAGCTATGGGTGCTATGGGTGCACAGGCAGGGCTCAGACCTCACCATGCCCCCAGGCACTCCCCAAACTGCCCCCCCAGCACACAGAGGGACCTGCCTCACTTCTCATCCCCCCAGAAAAAAGGTGTAAGATTATTTTTGTTTTCTTCTTTCCTAGACATCCTGGCATGTGGGGACCCCACCTCCCCTTGCTGCTGGAGCTCAAGGCCTGAGAAAAG